AAAAAAAAAAAAAAAAACACCAGCAATTGGCCCCCAACTGCTGTTTTCCTGCCCCTCATCCAACCAGGCATATACTACAGTGCCTGGCGTCTGTCAAAATGCTGCCAACTCTTGATCACTGGGATACTGATGAGTCAGGCTGTGGGTGATCCAAGCCTTCTTTCTTCTCCTGCTCCCACAGGCTGCCTCGGGTTGGGTTTTGTTTCTCGTTGCTCATTAGTACCTCCACTCTGTGGCTTAAGAAGCCAAGCTTGTGTCTATCAATGTTCATCTTTTCTAACAGTTCTGGTGACAAGTCTGGCAAGGGAGAAGCTTGAAGTATTTGAATAAAGGGATTCGGGGATTATCTGTGCCTTCCCAATCATCGACACAATCCTGGGGCTTGGGACTCTGGGTAATTTCACAGGCTGCCTCCAAGAATCTGCACACAGGATACATGGGGAAGTCTTGGGAATTACTGGGCTGGTCTAGGGAGCCTGGTGGGGCCAAGTCAGTTCAGATTTGTCCCTCACAACTTCCTCCTGAGGGAAGGGACCTTCCTGAGTGAAGCCGGGAGCAGGGCTTAGCTCCCAGGAAGTTTTCATGCCATTCAGGTATCCGTTCAGGCAGATGGTCTGCCTCCTTCTAGAGCTGGGATTCTTCCCAGAGCTTCTAAAAACCCTGACTGACAGCCTAGGAACATGGGTTCCACTGCCACTGCCCCTCCATGGATCCCTATCAACATGCTTCCCATTCTCCCCAGGGAACCCTCAGACAGTGGTTGGGGCAGAGATTACAAACTCAGTGTAGCTTGGGGGATATTAGTGCAGACTCTGGAGTCACACCAGGTTCAAATCTCTGCTCTGCCCTGTGTACCTTGGGCAAAACACTCGTGTTCTCTGGGCCTCCCTTCCCTTATCAGTAAAATGGGCCCAGTCTATAACTACCTCACAGCGTCGTGGATTGGACGGAATTGGCTAGAACACGTAGAGTGACAGGCACAAGGGAAACGATGCACAAATGTCAGCAGTCACAAAATAAACCCAAAAACCAACCTGCCCATGTTACTTGGATTCTGAAACCAAGGTGGCAGGGACAGCTTAGGAAGGCACAGCCCACACAGACACTGAGGAAAGCCACGCTTCAGTCAGCTACCTCTCTCTCGGCAGCTCGAGGGCCCCAGCCATCTGGGCCACAAACCGTCACTGCAAACTGGCCAGCTACACACCACCTCCTGAGGGGAGCCAACAGGACAGGCGAAACCAGGCCGTTCCCCCAGGGAACGATCGACAGCCGAGGTGCCTTCACCTCCAATTTACCATGGAGCCATTTGTTTGGCTCAGCTTTGGGGAAACTGTGTTCTTGTCACAAAACTCATGAGAAATATCCTCAATCTGAAGAGATAATTGGCGAGGAGGCCCGGGAAGGATTGATGGCCCCTTCCTCGGTCAGGTGAAATGGGCCCAATCTGCCTGAGCCACGGATGTCACCGCATGGGTCCAAGCGACTTGTGTAGAATGACTGACGAGTGTTTACCTTTCCCCAGGAAATCAGGCTAATGCAACAGGAAAGATGATCAATGTATATTTTAAAAGAATGTGTATACAAACAAACTCCCTCCCATATGTTACTGGGTTTCCTCCAAAGAAAACAGATTAAATCAAATGCCTACCAGACACGGAGCGTTGTATTAGGCTGTGGGGATTCAGGACCCCCTTCTCGAGAAGCTTAAAAAATCAAGTTGGGGAGACAAGACAAACATGAGTGAAAAGGTTGGGCATCAAAACAAGACATTTGTAATGAGCCAAAAGAATGAGACAGCTAATGAGTATTTCAGAGGAGGGGAAAACATGATCACTCTGGGCTTCGGAGGCCTCAAAGACGAGGGGGAGCGTGAGCTGAGCCAAAGCACAGGTACATAGGATTCAGTAGAGGAAAAAAAGCCATCCCGGAATGGGGCACAGGGTGAACAAACTGGGGGGGCCTGGACTACACAAGGCACATCAGGGGGACAAGCAAATAGGTTTTGGCTAGAGTGGGGGCTAAGTGCGCGGCAGATGGAATTAGAGACCTTCAGGAGAGAAAGGGGTTTTCTGGGCTGTCTAGCACAATCTCCTTTTACAGATGAGGACGGGGAAGCTCAGAGAGGTTAGGCGATTCACCTACAGTCACACAGCTAGTGGTCGATGGGAGATCAGTTGAGAAATCAAATCTATTTGTACTCAATTTAGAATCTGAGCTGACAGTAAATCAACTGGCCACCGGAAGGCAGAGGAACATCAGCCTAAGGTGACAGAAACCGCGCCGTTCCCAGCCACGCATGTTGATGGAGGCCACAGGAGGTGTTCAATAAACACTTGCTGATGAAATTGAGAGGCTGGCCGCTCTATCACTTCAGACAAGTCATTAGGTATCCCTGAGTTTATTTTCTCCCCCTCCCACTGCCTCCCCGCCCCCCAGTGAATAAAAATCCCAACTTGACCAGTGGTATACCCATACAGTGGGGAAAAAAATAGTCGTCCGAGATAAAAGTCAGGGGGCGTCTCAGAGGATTTCAGGTCTCTAACCTCTCCATGGTGTGGGCACAAAAGGCAGAAAACAAAACCCCTCCGTGGGTGGCAAGTAGGCTGGAGGGAAGGAACACCTGTTTTTTCCTACTTTTCAAGCCTTATGATCCCTCATCTGTTTCAAGTTGTGAGAAATCAGGTGCATTGTACCTTTCCATTACAAAGGAGATATGAACCGAAAGGTTAAATGTCTTAAGAAGGTGGTCTGAGGGACGGGGAGGGCCAGACCCCCATTTACCTCCCTGAGGCAGCTCATGAGTAAGGGAGGGAGGATAACTTGCATGCTCCTGGGAAGCGAGATGGCTGGAGTTTCATTACACAGTTAAGGAGGCCATCACATACAGATTTCCAGAAACCTCTTTGTGGTCATTTCTGAGGGTCTCTGAGCAGTTCACAAAGCAGTTGGTATGATCTCGTGTATAACCCAGAAACAATAAAAAAAAAATAAATTTAAAAGCACAAAATGGATCACTATGAAAATTGACATTGAAGAAGGCACAGAAAACCAACCTTAAGTAACTGGCCATCTCCAGTCCCCAAGAACAAAACAGTCCTGTTCATTACCACGGTGCCATAAACGGATGTCAGGTCGGAATGGATCAAGGTAGATGAGGCGATTGGTTGGACTCTCTCAGGTTGCTCCCCTTCTTTCTGAACATGCACACAAACGCACAAATGGAAAAAAGATCATTTTTAACAACAGTAATCGCTCATGCCCACCTAGGAAGGATCCTCCTTGAGCCCCAAATACATTTTCTTAGACAAGATCCCGAGGAGCAACCACTTAGTCCCTTTATCTGCAGGATCACCACGCTTGCCCAACCCATGAAAAGCCATTTGTTTACTATGTATTAACATGTATTGATTGCCAGCAGTGAGCTAGCCATCCATTTAACACTCCCCCAGCTGATATATGAAACCGAGTTCCACTTTGTTGCCAAGAAAGAGCCCACTGCTAAATTGGGAGGGAGACAATCTCATGCTTGGCGGTTTGCACGATCCTGCTGCAAATTATTTTAGCTAGGGACTGGCTCCTGTGAGGTTAAACAAGCCACTTCCCAAGATGTGAGGCAGACCGTCCTATTGGGTGTGATGGCAGAGAGGAGGGACTGCGGATTTACCAGACTGATGCAATGCAAAGCCCAAAGACAGGGTAATTAATTCAGAGGTAAAAAGGGAAAGATATAGTCATGGCTGGTGGGTTAGGACAGAACCACAGAGCTAAAGAGGAACTAAGCACAAGGCCTGGATGTGGTGCTGATGCTCTTGAAGAAGAAACATAAAGCTCAACTTCCAACCCAAACGCATTTCAATGGTCGGCAGTATTGAGCGCATATAATCACATGCTTGCTCCCGATCGTTAGATAAAAGCCCCTCTTAAACCCAGGGCAGAGCGAGCGTCGACCAAAATGTCTTGGTCTTTCTTGGTTCAAGGCATGAAGAGCTTCACGCTGCTTCCTGCCTTCAACAACAGGAAACCGAGTTTGTTACACAAATCTCTGGAAGATACGGAGCTAGAGAGAGCCACTGCCGTCTGTGGCTGCTCAGTACAGTGTCATAGCATACTTCATCTGCCAGAGCTCAGTTCCCAATCGTACTCAGGTTTCCAAACTCACATTTAAGTCTTAGCCAATGGGAGAGCTGGTAAACTCCAGTAAGCCTCACTGGAACTCTTAAAATTGTCCTGTCTGGGGACAGGGGAGGTGTGCAGGCGGAGGCTAAGACTTATTAACTTCATTATATTATTGCTGACAGTGTTTATGTCTTTCAATTTATGTCTCATTAAACATTCATTATTTTTAAACCCACCAAGTTTCATTAACATCTGAAGTAAATGGATTCATGGACTAAATTGACTTCTGAAGCCCTTAAAGTGCCGTCTGTATTTCTTTGTTGAGGTTGCGCAGGGAAGAAAAGATAAGCTAGCAAGGATTTCTCCAATGCCATGATCACTTTTCAAGGGAAAGATGTCGTAACCTAAGAGAAAGTGACTTTTTGCATAAAATATTCCATAGTGAACTCAGTTTAAGAAGATTTTTGGAAAGCCCATTAGAGACTATTTTTTTTCCTGTTAGATACTTTACATGCAGTCGGGGAAAATGACGAACTGTCCTGTTAAAATTGAAGTTAAGAAGAAAAAATCTGGGGCGCCTGGGTGGCTCAGTTGTTAAGCGTCTGTGTTCGGCTCAGGTCATGATCCCAGGGTCATGGGATCAAGCCCCGCATCGGGCTCCGTGCTAGGCTGGAAGCCTGCTTCTCCCTCTCCCACTCCCCCTGCTTGTGTTCCTGCTCTCGCTCTCTCTCTCTCTGTCAAATAAATAAAATCTTTAAAAAAAAAAAAAAAAAGGAAGTAAAAATCTCTGTGGGTCTTAGAACCAGAACAATAGATCACTGTTTAGATAAGGATGCCTCATGACTATGAGCAGAAAGAGAAAAATCGGGTGACCTTTAGACTGAAAAAAATAATAAAACCACACCACACATCTTGCTTTAAAATAAAACCAGAATTGTTCAAACTTAAGATCAGCTGACCATGCCTACTACTCTTATTAAATATTTGAGCATTACAGAGAGGCTAACTCAGAGAATTGGGTGTCATCTGTCTGGGCATCTGGAATGTTCTAATACTGCTATCTTTGACTGGAAGACTCCATTCTCCCTCATCTCACGGCACAGAAAAAGTTATGGCTATAGACAGTTGATTATTCATCCACGAGGACCAAATGGGACAGTGCACGCCTACCTCTGGCATACAGTAGGTGCTTAATAAGTGTTGCCATTCTGATTAGCCAAGAACCATGACATCACAGGGAGCCTTTGCTGAGGCTGGATGAGATATTCTGTTTGTGATATTCTGCTTAGAGCAAAAACAAAAACAAAACAAAAGAAACCCCAAACAAAAGAAACCAAAAGAACCCAGAAGTGTCTCAAAAGCTAAAGTACAAGGACAAAAATTGCTTCCAAATTACCATGCCATCTTTTTCAGCATCCTTCCCTGCCTTCTGACCATTCCTTAATTGCAGTTTTCCAGATTAAGTCCTGGATCAGTAGCTCAGGTAAGTAGCAGAGCTGTGAAATCAACAGCCCTGAACTTGGGAGCTGGCGGCATAAACGAACCTCCTGGGTCTAGGCGGTCAGACAGCTTAGGTCTGCATTCAAGTTCAGTTCTCGCCCACTGGCTGACGGGGGCAATTTATGTAACCCTGTCGGGGGTTGGCTTCCTCCTTCGTGAGTAAGGCTCATGATGAAGCCTGACTGGTAGGAGGGTTATGAAGAAGAGACTGTAGGGACAGTAATACTAACATGCTGATACATGCGAGCTGGTACTTACTGTGTGCTACTTGGAGTATCTTATCACCTTACCTAATCCTGGCTCTGTCACTTCCACTTTGTGCACATTATTTAACCTCTCCGTGACTCCCCTACACAATGGAAGTGACGACAACGACTGAGTAGGCAAGCCCCAGTGAAGCTTAGAAGAGTGTTTGGCGCACAGAAACACACGATCCATATTTGTTTTCATTACCTCATTTTAAAACACCAACAGTTGCTGCAAACTTGTGGCAGTTATTCCCACCTTCTTTGCCACGAGAACCCTGATTTCGTCCAGGTAACCTGGGAAACCATGACTGGTCTAAGCCACACAGTAATCCCATTCCCCACTGCCAGGTATTTGCTTTCCTGCTCCTTTGAGCTCTGGGTAGCCATGTGGTCCAGTTTGGACCCGTGAGATGGAAATTCACTGGAGGGGCTTCTGAGAATAAATCTCCTCCAAGATAAGAAGTGGCTCTTGAGAGGAGCCTGTCTGCCCTCTCCGCTCACTTGCTCCCTTTGAAATCCGTTGTGTGAGGCTACCACGCACAGAGAGGTGGTGGCCATCTTCCTCCCATGAAATTCAAGATGGAGGATGAAAGGCAGCATGCTAAAATCGGTGCATGGGAAAAGAAAGGCTCTAGGTTCCTGAGGACACCATGGAGCACAGCTTCCAACCTTTAAACATTTACTAACAACAGATGTTATGATTTAAGTTGCTGTTGAATGGGTTTTCTGTTACTTGCAACCAAAAGCAAGTCGCTGCAAGAAATGAGAGTCATGTTGGACATGACACCAGACTCGCTTTTCCTCAGCTACGAGGGACCAAGAACTGGCTAAGCGCTTGTTCTCTCACCGTGGAGGACCTTGGCCACAGCCAGGATTGTATAGCCAATTACAACAGCGAGCCTGGAAGAAAATAGGAAAGAGCCGTTCTGGACCTCACGTAAACTCTAAGGGCTGCTCTGGCTGAATGGAAATGGATTCTTTTGTGCTAGAAACACACAGAAATGGACAAGTCCCTGTGAATGGAAAAAGGGGCCCTCTGAGTGGCTTTCTTACGCTCATTTCAGCAAATGAAAACAAAAGAAAGACAGCCTTCAGAGAAACCTCCTCACAAAAGTGAAGTTAATACCTAGGGAGTCAAGCCGAAAAAGGGGTGAAGTGGGCAGTCGGCCCCCTGTGTCCAGAGATTATTCTTACTCTTTCTTTTTTGGCCAATTTTCCTCTCTTGCCCTTCTCTCCCCTTAGGGCATAATCGCTAATGTTGCTCTCAGCCTATTCTGTCTAGTTTATTATGTGTAATTTATTTCTGAATCCCAGCCTCTGCTTGTTCGTCTGCGTATAACAAGGTTAATGCCTTGTAATGATGCTTTTGCCAGTTCTGCCTTTCATGACAAAATCCAATCTTGATTTAGCTCTAAACCTTGTCTCCCCTTTGGGCTTTCTTGGTTCCCTCAGAGTTGTCATTCTGCTTCTCCTGCCTGCCATGTCTAACCATAGCGTCACGCCTACACTTTAGCCCTAAGAGGGAAAGTTTTCTCAGTTTGAGGGAAAAAGCCACCTGGTCTCAAACAATGTTTGGGCTCAAAAAGAGAGAGCCTTGGGCTCGACACACCAAAGTGGAACTAAGGCTACTGAGAGGGGTGAGTGCTGGTGTGCGTGTGTGTGTGGGAGTGCGTACAGGGAGTGGTGGCCTATCGCAAGGGGAAACAGCTTGACCTCCTTGCAGCACCCTTATACGACCTTTCATCGACAACAAACACTCCCAGTGCACAACTCCAGGGGGCTCCGGTCATGTATTCTAGGGTGAATGGCACCCTCCGGAGCTGAGTAGCACTGTGGCCCTGCTCCCGCCATGCAGAAGATGGCCTGGCTCATCAAGGCCTTATGCAGGGTGTTCACAGCCCCGCTTTAGCTATTATGGGAACAGCAGGAGGAAACATGCACAACAGTGGGACCTTAAATGGTAGGGACCCAGCAAGAGTCAAGTCTTCTACTCCCAAGGTGCTAAAAAGACTCCCTCATTTGGTTTTTCCAGGAAAGGTACCAACTGGGGGCCTATTAACTACTGACACCTTGATGAAATGCCTCTTGGGCAATTACTTTTGTATTCTGCTCTCCTTTGGCATATACTTATTTTGAAACAGTTTCTTCACCATTTCCTATGACTTGCCAGGGGTCCACGTGCAGTTGGGAAACCTCAGTTGGAGCCCTACACTCAAGACCTGTCTGCGAACATGTACACACACACACCCATTCTGTCCCCTACAGGCTGCTTGATTTTGATAAGTCTCTGAACCTCAATGGACTATAAATCTATAAAATGGACATAATAA